GAGCATCTCCCCTTCCCACTGAGCATCTCCCCTTCCCACTGAGCATCCCCCGATTCCACTAAGCTGAGACATCTTTACCTCTTCTCAGAGCTTTCTCTCCCACCACTGCTTCTCCCACAGGACCATTTCATCCAGCACCCAGGTGCAGGGAGGAGACTTCAACCTGTACGAGAACATGCGCTGCCATGGCGTCCCGCTGGTCACCATCAGCCGTGGGCGAGTCGTGTACGAGAACGGCGTCTTCATGTGTGCTGAGGGCACTGGCAAGTTCTATCCCCTGAGGTCCTTCCCGGACACTGTCTACAAGAAGCTAGTCCAGAGAGAAAAGGTGAGATGGGGGAAGGAGAAGGGTGTGGGAGGAGGCGGAAGCCCCCGAGGAGGGGGCGGGGGGGGGGGGCGGAAGCCCCTGAGAAGGGTATGGGAAGGGGTGGAGGCCCCCTGTTGGGGAACTCTATAATGACTGTATTAAATCTCAAAGATGTTCTCACTCCTTCTCCCACTGAATCCTATTGCCTGGAATGGTCACTTTGGGAACAATTGAAAGAGCAGAAAGGGGTACTTATAACAAAGTAAAACGTAGTGGGCACAGCCGCTAATTCCCCTGGAGCTAAGGGAATACTAAAGGCTGCTCACAGATGTCCCCCGCATCTAGTCTCTGGGAGGATTCTTGCCCACCCTCCAGTGGGATTCCTGGCTTGGCCTGGGTTACCATATGTGCCCTGGAGTTGCTCTTTCCCTGAAACCTCCCCCTCCCTTGTGACTGTAGTGAGGTGGGTGGGATTTGCCAGGTTTGGACGCCCCTCCCCCAGCACGGCTAACGGTCAGGCCAGGTCTGGGACAGCTAATATCTTAGGGCCCCCACCCGGTCCTTGGATTCCATAAGCACCCTGTTCACTAAAGTTTTGGGCTTCTCCTCATCCCCAGGGGTTCTGTCCTCCGAGCAGACACAGTTACCCAAGGGAAGACTGGCTGTACCTTCATTGCTCGGGGATTGATTGCCCAGCCTTGTCTTTGAGGGCTGGCCTGGACACTCTGGCCTGAGTTCTTGCTGACAACGCCAGGTGCTGGGCATTGCAGGCCTGGCCTCTGGGCGGAGGTTGCAGATCATCAGGAGAGAACAGCTCTGACGCCCCGAGAGCTGAAAGCCTCATGCTGTTTCCTCTCCCCTTCCTGTGGCCTAAGGAGGCTTCCGAAGGCTCCTGTCTAGAGAGGGCGAGCGTTCTTCTAGCACGACCGGGGGCCCAGCAGCTCTCCTGCCTAGGCTCTGGGATGCTGTGGTGGGAATCATGGCACACTTCAGAGATGTTGAACTTCTTTTTTTTTTTTAATTTCCTCATCCGGCTTCCCCGGTGTTCTGTTCTTCTGTTCCTTTCGCCCAGTACATCCCAGTCCTCTGTACACAGCAGGTGCTCACTGTGCGTTCTGAAGGTAGTTCAGTGCAGATTTCTGGTAAACTGCCCAGCTCAGCCTTGTCTGTCAGCTGCTTGTCTGTGCAGGGGTGAGGCCCAGTAAAATGGTCTGTGTGTTTTTCAGCCGGAGGCCCTAAGTAGCAGCTGGAAGGGGCGCCTCTTCTGGACCCTTCCAGGTGACCCTCCTGCCCCCACCCCACTCCCCATATTGTGGTCACTGTCCCAGGCCAGCATCAGCTTCCTACTCCCAGGCCCCGTGCTCTCCACTCCTCCTCAGCTCTGGCTTCCAACAGGGACCGGAGATACAAAGGACCCTGACTGAAAATAGACTCAGCTGCCATATGACTGAGCTCTAGAAGTCTGCTCAATAGTACCTCAGGAATAGGGCTTTTAAGAGCTGCCTGGGGCTTGGCACACTTGCCATAAAATGATCATATGACCTCTCATCTTCAGCCAGACTTTCTTAGTCTCTTGGTTCTCTAGTCCTTTATGCAAAAGCCAAGCTTCTTTACTCGGTGCCTCCGGCCTCCCCTTCTTGTTCCCCTTCTCAATTCCTTCCTGGAACCACCCAAAGGCTTTGAGGAGCGGCTGTTTCAGCCTGTGCCCTCCCAGCTGTTCTCTGAACACCCACTACTCTGGCTGGCCTGTGAGACCCCAGCCCCGGAAGGAAGGTTCCACCAGCTGGGATGGGAGGCAAGTAGGCCTTCCTGCACTTTTCGGGGCCCTCACCAAGACGTCGTTCCACGTGAGTGTGGTCCTCGGTACAAGTGCGTTCACGAAAACTACAGCTTTCTTTCACAAACTATGGCCCAGCCCTCCTGGGCTGGGAGGGCTGTGTGGGACCGGAAGGGGGACATGCCAGAGCAGGGGAGTGCCAGTGTCTGTTTCCCATCTTTGTTGATCAGATAGAAGTTTTTTTTAAGTATTAGTTATTTAAGTCATCTCTACACCCCACGTGGGGCTCAAACTCACATCCCCGAGATCAGGAGTCACATGCTCCTCTGACTGAGCCAGCCAGGCGTCCCTGGTTTCCAGATAGAATTTTAAGTGATTGGGCAAACAGGGAGTTCCGGGTTCCCAAAGGCACAGGAGGCAAATGTGAGCATGTCTGTGACTGCTGAGTTCCTCTTGATTCGCTGGCTTGCAGGGCCTTCAAGGTTCCGCCATTGCCTGGTTCCTTCCCAGTCTCGATGAAGTAAGGGCATGTAAGACTGATATTTGAGGAGCAAGCATCTAGAGCGTCAGAGTAAACAGGGCATGTGAACACCAGAAGATCAATCCTGCTGGGTTTTTCCATGTGTGAGGGCCCAGAGCTCTCAGGATGACGATTAAACCCTTCTCTGCCGAAGGCCAACAAAGGAAGAAATCCAAAGCCAGATCTGCTGTGGGGGAGCAGACTTGGGTTACCTGAAAAACAAAACAAAACAAAAACATGACTTCAGTTATCACAGTGTTCAATCCAAAAGCAAACTCAGGGTCTGTCGGGAGGTGAATAGTCCCATCTCCAGTCTGCTCCTGGGATGTGGACAGTGGCGGAGGCCTCAGCCAGCCTCTGGAAGGCATACCAACAAGAGCAGGAAGAGGGAGGCATTCATACACCGGAATGTCTGACAAACGGTGGCTGTCATTTTAAAAAGGAAACTGGAAAATAACATGTGTCGGTTAGGATGTGGAGAAACTGGAACCCTTATTCATTGCTGGTGGGAATGCGAAATGGTGCAGCCACTTTGGAAGACAGTTTGGCAGTTCCCCAAAAGTTAGATATTAGAGTTACCAAATGAGCTCTGCTCTTGGGTCTAGCCTCAAGGGAAATCAAAATGTATATCTACACAAAAGCTTTATGTAGTGTTCATAGCAGCATTATTTGTAGAGGCCAAGAAGTGGATACAACTCAAATGTCCATCAGCTGTTGAATGGATGAACAGAACGAGGTATATCCATAGGGTAGAGTATTATTGAGCCAGAAAAGGAAATGGAGTGCTAACAGATATACACACCACATACATGAGCCTTAAAAACCTGATGCTAAGTGAAGGAATCTAGTCACAAAAGAGCACATATTTTATGATCCCATTTATATGGGATCCAGAAGAAGGAAATCCGTAGACAGAAAATCTATCAGTGGTTACTCAGGGCTGGGGGCTGGGGAATGGGTGTGGGATTGCTTTTGGGGTGATGAAAATGTTTGGGAATGAGAGGGTTGCGGGAGTGGCCCAATGTTGTGAATATACACCACTGAAACACCACTGAATTGTATACTTTATTAATTTTTTTTTTTTTTGAGGAAGAGAGAGAGAGTGCTAATGGCAGGGGGGTGCCAGAGGGAGAGGGAGAGAATCTTAAGCGGACTCGGTGCTGAGCACAGAGCCCGACGTGGGGCTTGATCTCACGACCCCGAGATCATGACCTGAGCGGAAATCAAGAGTCGGACACTTAACTGACTGAGCCACCCAGGGACCCCTGAATTATATACTTTAAAATGGCAAGTTTCATGGTATGTGAATTATATTGCAATTTGAAAAAAAAAAAAAGAATATCTGATGACAGTCCTGTGGTCTTTCCAAAAAAAGATATTTTAGTCAGGAAATAGGGTCAACAGAGGGCAGAGAAAGTATTGTAAGCCCTTCTAAATGCCAACCTCATAAACACGTGAGATGGATACCAATTCACAACATCTGGCTCCTCAGGCCAGCCGAGGTGCAGGAGCACCAGCTGCCAGGATTGATGTAAATTCAACCCAGAGTCTCTTTATCTGAAGCATTTATTACAATGACAATGTAAGGTTCCCAAGCAAAGGCGTGTTCTATTGCCTGTTTGTCACAGCCTTTCTGTAAAAGAATGCACGAATGCAGGGGCACCTGGGTGGCTCAGTCGTTAAGCGTCTGCCTTCGGCTCTGGGTCATGATGCCGGGGTCCTGGGATCAAGCTCCCCGCTCAATCGGGCTCCCCGCTCAGCGGGAAGCCTGCTTCTCCCTCTCCCGCTCCCCCCGCTTGTGTTCCCTCTCTCTGTCAAATAAATAAATAAAATCTTTAAAAAAAAAAAAAAAAAAGAATGCACGTATGCAGAAAAAGGAAACTAACCAAAAAATCTCATTTTCCAAAAATGATGAATGATCGGCCCCTAAAGAGCATGGGCCTTGGGGAAGAAAGCATCTTGGTGGAGGGTTGGGTGTGCAGCCAGTAGCGAGGGGGCTGCCAGAAGCCGGGGTGTGGCCTGCCAGGGTCACTCCCTCAGGATTCAGCCAGCCCGTGCTTCTACGAACCGCCCCCCTCCCCGCCGGGACCCCGGCCTCCAAAGCCAGGATGCCAAAGTGCAGCCCCGAAAAGGCCGAAACAGTTCAGACCAGGCTTGACATTCTGAGGGTTGAGCTGAACTATGGCTCTGTTGTGGGAGACTATAAAGGAATATGTATGTAGGCGGAAGCTCCTTCAAGAAATTCCCCGTATGTATTGTTTCAACAAGATTTGCAGTAAGCAGCAAACAGCAAGGAGGTTGAGGTTCTGTCCCTGACGAGTGCCTGGGGTGTAGATCATCTACACTGCTGCTTCAGACCCTGTGTGCACACTCCAACTCGCTCTGTCCTCCTCACGGTAGCACCTTCTAACGTGAACAAGCACATATAAGTGACCTCTGCCATAATTAGGGCTGCTGGTCCTTTATGTCACTTGCCACGTGCCAGAGCTGTTCTGAGAGCTTTATGTATATTAATCCATTTGATCTCGTAACAATTCTATATGTAATACTAATACGTACTATCTTCATCCTAATTTGACAAATAAGGAAACAGACATAGAGACATTAGGTAACTTGCATAAGGTCGCGGAGCTGGGATTGGAACCCATACTGGATGCAGAACATAGGCTCTTAACTTTACTGCCTTTGTGAGTACAAAACTAATTAGTATTGCCACCGGAGGGGGGGGATTCTCATCTCCAAATCAGCTGTATTTTGCTTCTGTCCCCATAGAGTTGTCAGGTCACAGTAAAAGTCATGGCCTCTTGGGAGCCTGGCAAGAGAGGGGATAGCATTGCTCCAGGTGAGGGGAATACTCCAGAAATCTGCCCGCTACCTTGGAAAGGATTCTACCAACATTGAGGGGGAGCCCACAGGGGCCCCCGTATGCAAGTGTGCATGCATGCGCTCGCACACACTGTTCAGGAGGTAAGAGAATCCTCCACCCCCTGAGTTCCAGATGTAAGGAACTTTTGTCGCATCCAGTCATTTGGGTCCTGAGCAGAGCGGCAGCATCAACCTCCTGCTAGCCATCCAGGAGGCTCTGGTGGCAATGGCGTGTGGGGTCTGACAGTGTCCTCTCTTCCCGTTTTCTCCTTCTCTGTCCTTCACTAGACCTTAAAGGTTAGGGGAGTGGACCGTACGCCCTACCTGGGGGATGTAGCCGTCGTTGTGCATCCTGGGAAAAAGGAGATGGGCACGCCGCTCGCAGACACCCCCACCCGGCCCGTTACCCGACACGGGGGCATGAGGGACCTTCATGAGTCCAGCTTCAGCCTCTCTGGTAAGAGCAGGGGCCACTCCGCCCGGGACCTGCGTCTCTCCCGCAGTGGGGTAGCAGGAGCTGAGGGACTTCTGCAGCGTTTCCTCTCCATCTTCTCCCCCCCCCCCCCCGGCCCCCGCATGTCTAGAGACGAGTGCCGCATCCCACAGCAGAGACACAGCAACATTGGGAGGGGCAGGAGGGCTCTCCAGGTCCCTGGGCACCAGCCACTCCAAGAGGCCATGGCTTGTCTGGTGCTCTCCCCATGGCTCCTAAGTCCAGATACTTTTTTTTTCCCCCTTAAAACATCTTGAGGGCTCTGCACACAGTGGGTGCCCTGGGGATGCTCAGAGCTCAGAAGGGTTAGCCCTCTGTGCTACGTGGGACTGCACCCCCACTGCAGTCTCTCCGTCCCCATCCCTGCTCCTCACCAGCCTCTGAAAGAGGTGTTTCCCTTACTCCCTTTCCTCCCTTACCCCAGCCCCATGTTTGCCCCTCCAGCACCTTCTGTTTTGCCAACAATTGTAATATATGTGATACCACAGATGATACATGGGGTGCGTCTGTGCTCTGGGACTTTATTTATCCCAGGTGCTCTGCAGTAGTGAAAGGTGGGGGTCATTGTCACAAAAACGGTAGCCCTCCCGGAGAACGAGCAAGGCTATAAGGTGGCTGGGGCAGCTCTGACGGACACTGGGACCCCCGCTTGAAGAGGGCAGAGCCAAGTCTCCCTGAACTCGCTGAGCGGCCTTCGGAACCAGACCAGGTGGAGGCCTGGCATCGCTCTGCAAGGGCCACACTGGGGCCTGAACAGTGAAAGGAGCAAGATCCACATCCTTCCACACAAGGCGTGGCATTTACCGGTACATACAAGCTGTCCTAATACGAGAGGCCGAGGGGTACCAAGGGAGCAGGGCTGCCCCCCGAGCTTCCTCTGTGCCCCGCTATGTGCTGGGGGCAGCTCAGGTCAAAGGACAACATGCTTCCTATTTCGAGGACCTTGCAGTTTCGAGGGGGGTCCTCTCCATCCTCAGAGCCAGTCTCATTGCCAAGGTAACTATTCCCCCACCCTGAGGGCCACTGCCATTCACACCAGCGACAAGACACGGGTGCTGGCAGTCACAGAGGAATCTGTGGTGTGAAGTGCACTTCCACTCTTCCGGCGTCAGCCACCCCCCTGAGAAGCCTCAAGGCGCTCAGAGTGTGGGCCCACCGGCCAGTGGCTTCTGCCACATCTCAAGGCACAGCATGTCTCAGACTCAGCAAATATCAGGCATCGTCCCACCTTCCTTCCACCCAGCCTTGTCTGTTCTGGATGGGCTGGACTGAAGAATGTCCCACTCACTCCCTGGGACACCAAGCCTCTTTTTTCTAAGTCTTGGGATTTCAAGAAGCTGGGCCCTTGGGGTGTGGTTCTTTGGTTTTCCAGAATAATGGAGTGCCCAGTCTTCTCCCTGTCTTACTCACCGGGGCGTGTGTACAAAGGTCCACATGCTGACAGGCTGATTCATGGTCTGTGTGCACCACAAAAGCCCACATGCCCAGGCTTGGGAGCAGCGAAGGTGGCAGAGGCCCTGAATCAGAAAGACCCGGGTTCAAATTCAGGCACTACCACTTATATACACTCTAACCCTGGGCGAGTCACTTAACTTCCCTGAGCCTCGGTGTGCTCATCCAGAAAATGGGCTGGAGCTGTGAGGCTTCGGTTAGAGCGTACCCACAGAGGGCTTAGCAGCTTCCCCGGCTAGATGGTGCCTCTGCGTTCATAGCCCGGCCGAGAGCCGCCGAGCTCACCCTCCGCTTCCTTCCCGGCAGGTTCTCAAATCGACGACCACGTTCCAAAGCGAGCTTCGGCTCGGATCCTCGCTCCCCCCGGAGGCAGGTCAAGCGGCATTTGGTAAAGGCACCGACCAGCCCCCCAAGTGAGGACGCACCACTGCCACCAGCCCGCACACCCTCCGGCCACGGCTGCAGGGGGCGGGAGAGGCTGGGCCGGGCGGCACACCACCTGAGGGGGCCACGGGACCCGGGGAGCCCTCCCCATGTCTGACCCGTGATTCACTGTGCTTCGAGCCAACCCTAACAGGCACTTTGAGATGTGTTCCTCCCGCTGCAGTCCTTTCCTGCCTCGGCCCCGGCAGGCTTTTTCGGGGGCCCAGGAAAGCCACACTATGCACCGAGCCCACTGCATAGAGCCCGGCCCAGCCCCTCCTCTCACCCCCCCGCTCCACATGCTGGCCTTCAGTGCCCTGCCCCCTGGCCGACCCACCAGCTGTCCGGAGCACTTTAGCAGGTGGGTGTTGGAGGAAAAGGACCCCCTCCCCCGCAGGAGGCCCTGTGGTCACTTTTCCCAAGTCAGACAGCTGTTGGCTTCCCAGCCATGCCCAGGGTGTCCCGTTCCTCCTGACTCAACGCTGGGCCCCGTGTGCGTGTGCTGGGGACACTCTGCACCCCTTGCCAGCTTCTTCCTCCTCCCACCCCAGCCTCTGGGAGTCACAGGCCCCGAAGGGCTCGCTGAGCGGGGCACAGGGCTGGTGCCAGGCGCGTGTACATGATTTTGTTTTGCACGTTTGGTTTGCGCAGTGGTTTGGTTTGACTTGTTTGTGCATCCTGTGAAGAATAACGGTGCTTCGTGTCACTAGCATAGCATAGAAACAGGAGTAGTTGTGGACCTTAAGAGACGCTGCACTCGACGCCGACCAGACAGCCCAGGGCACAGACCAGGAGCGGGCTGAGGCGCCGGGCTCACGGGCCCTTCTTCTCCCCACCTGGAGTCTTCCAGGCTGCCGCGGCCCTGTCCCAGGCCCTCCTCACATCCCCCCCCCCACAATCCTGGGGGTAGTTGTCTACATTCTGGGGGGGGCGGCCAGTAAGCCAGCCCTGGGGACCTCCGGGGAGCAGAGTCGCCCCTCCCAGCACTAACACCCCCAAACACCCGGCTTCCTATAAACTCCCCCCGCTGGACAGAGGCCCAGGCGCTCCTCCCGTGTGATTGGCAAGAGGCCTCACGCCTGCTAAGAGAGGGGGAGCAGGACTCGGGAGTGAGCGGGCTAGAGGCTGGGCCAGCGGCACCAGGCCGGAGAACCCACATTGCTGTGCAGGTGCTGTGGCCTCCTGGGGTCAACATCTCCCCTGTCCCTGCTTGTGGCCTTCGTCCCCTCCCACGTCCAGTTGGGCTCTCCCTGCCTCGGATGCTCCGGGAGGTTTCCAAGGAAATGCTAGAGGCTGGGTGATCATCCACCCTGAGTGAGCTGGGAGGCATCCCAGCCGCCTGCCCTTCTTAAGCCTTGCCGTCCGGGCAGGGAAGTGATTTCATGTTGCACATTCGCTTTGCGCACCCCGCGCTTGCCCTGGGGCTCTTGGGCTGGTGGTCCTACCCTGCACATTTCTTCAGTGCTTTACAAGCTTTCAAAGCACTTCATATACGAGCCCTCGATTGCTCCGCCCGACTGCAGAGCATGTTATTCTCCCCATTTCACAGATGAGGCCCAGAAACTTTAGGCCTTCTGACCCCACAAGTGTCCATGACGGCCCTTAAGAGCTTGGCTTGTCTACCCCAGCGTGGAAAGGAAGAGGGGGGGATGTCTCTTGTAGACCCCACCTGAGAATTGAACCATCCAGAAGACTTACTCCCTTGGTAGGCATTCTGCTTTGTTTTGCACAGGTAGATAGATCTTTCTTACAAACCAGCTGACGCCTATTCACTGTCTGAGCCAGAACTAGTTAAATGTTGGGGGGCTTGCCCTATGGCTTGAGCTGCCTCCACATCCTCCCTTCTCCCTTCTTGCTCATCTTCCTCACTTAGGAGCTGAAAGGACAGAGACGGTACCCCAGGGAGCAGAGGCAACAAAGGCACTCACGGGAGGTGGCAGCCACGGGGACAGTAGGTAGAAATATGGGCCTGGGAAACCATGACACGGACCCCTCAGTACAATGCACATCATCCTCTTTACCCCAGCCCGTTGCTGGGTCATGGGCCTTGGGCAGATGCCAAAGAGCCAAGCAGTGGTGGCAGCCAGAGGGCACAGCATCCCTGCTTGGGCTAAGAAAGCTTTACCTTCTCTGAGTGCCTCCGCCCGAGAGATGCATGGTCCATGGGATGGCTCTGGGAGACCACACCTTGGAGTGGTCCACAGTAGACCTTCCACTTCATCTTACTTGCCCCACACACCCATAGCCCCCGATCCTTTCACAGACCCCGCCCTTGCCCAGGAGCTTCTAGATGAAAACCAGAAGGAGGTTCAAGGGACCAAAGGAACGGTCAGCCCCACCCCCCAGCCCCCACTCCTTGCCCCTGCGCAGAGCTCCGGCCAGCTCCATCAGCAGCCCCACCGCTCCTGGTTGGAATGACGAGGGTCTCTGGTTGCCCTGAATGCAGCTCTCAAACTGGTCCTGTACTTGCTGAATAAATACTGTTGTTCTTGCCTTAGCTGCTCTCTAGGTTTGTGGGATTAAGTTACCAGAAAATCGTGCTACCGTGTGTGCGTGTGTGCGTGTGTGTAGTGCTAGGAGTCCACAGTAGGTCTCTGTCAAGCCAATGACGTGATGAGGGCTTTTCCGATACTGACCCAGAAACCACAGAAGCACGCGAAAACCCAAACCCCCTCCAGCTGCCCCGGGCGGCAGGCACAGCCTGGGGGCGGGATGGAGCCTCCAGCACCCAAGTGACTTCTCACTCCTCTGTAAACGTCATGGTGCTAAGATTGTGTCAACCCCAAGACGACACATGGTCCTGTGCTTTGGCCACCTGTTTGAGGCAAAGACAAAACAGCCCGACACATTGTGTTCTGGTGCAGGTTTGTATTAAACTGTAGCGACTTCTCACTTGGTCTCCGTTGTGTTTCTTCCAAAGAAGAGAGAGTTTGGCAGGGGACCTCCTCCCCAGTGGCAGGGGCAGAACCCAGTTGCTAAGAAAACTCAGCTTTGGTTCTTCACTCGTATTGGGTGGCGGGTAGCCTCTCACCGGGATGCCTGAGCAGAGCTCAGGCCTCCTGGTGGGAACAAAACCAAGGCTTTTGGTGCCAGATTCCCAGAACAAGGTTGCTGAGTTAACTGAAACAGGGATAATCGGGGGGAAGGCATTACATACAAAAGGCGGGGAAACTAGGCTTTCTACACTTATCCGTTGTTGCCTATTCTTGGCTACCATTTTGGAAACCCATAGCCCCCCTCTTCACACGGTGGAACTCTCTGTGGCTTCATAAGATCACAGGACAGAGTGCTGTCCCAAGGCCAGTGCGTCTTTGAAGGACCTCCAGGCTACTCTCTGGTTCTCCAGAACCACCCCCCCTTTGGATTGGTCTACTGTACCCTCCAACCCCTTCCACCTGCACCAAGATTCCTCTGCCTTCTCTCTAGATCTCAGCCCGCTGTTGGAAGGGATTCCTGGATCAAACTCCCACACTGAAGAATGAAACTGTTGCTTCCATTACTATAGGGTCACTTGTACTTATTTCTTAGGCCCCGAAGATAAAACCCTAATGAGGGAATTTTAGGCAGTGTTCAAAATCGTTGGTGGCAAGGGAATTTTCCCAGCTTTCATCAAATAAACAACTCTGCAAATAAGACCATGACCGAAAGTAATACTCCGGGTGCTGCATTTGGGGCAAAGCAGTTGGCTATTATGACATGAGCCGTATGTACTAGCTCCAGTGGAGTTTCTGAGCCAGATGGAAACACTATTACCTGGCTTGTGAAGGATGCCGAGTCCCTGGGATGGGACTGGGCCAAAGTGTCTGTGTTAGCCTGATTTCCCATAACGTGAGAACACACCAGAATTTGATTAACTGCCAAAAATACATGGCTTCAAGCGTTTGGATGAAAAATAATGTGGCCATATGTTTGCCAGGCCATGTGTACCGTATGGGGTGATTGATAGAGAAAAAAATAAGATACCCAGAAAGACACAGCAGGCCTTTGTGTGCATGTAGTTGAGGGAAAATAAAAAAACACAGACTTTAAAATAAAGTTTTAATTTTATTAAATTTATATTTTATATATATTTATTAAAAAAAAAAAGATCATTTATAGGATTATCTGCATTCAGGGAAACCTCACCAGCCACGGGCTGGGGAACTTTCACCCTCAGTCTCCTTACTCAGAATTACAGGAGGACTGTTTTTTTTTTGTTGTTGTTGTTGTTTTAAGATTTTATTTATTTATTTGAAAGAGAGAGCGAGAGAGCAGAGCACCAGCACGGGGAGCGGCAGAGGCAGAGAGAGAAGCAGGCTCCCCGCCGAGCGGGGAGCCCGACACGGGGCTCGATCCCAGGACCCTGGGATCAGGACCTGAGCCACCCAAGGTGCCCCCAGGAGGACTTTTTTACAAAAGTATAACCTAACACTAAGAATTGCCTTGTAGTTGGTGGAGATGGGAGAGTCTCATAACCCCCCAGGTCTAAAGAAGAAACCTCGTGATACACAGGGAGGGGAGACCTTATAGTGCTAGGTTAATAAAATATTATTTGACAGTGTTGTTGATAACATATTTGAAAGGGTTTTAGTGCTTTCCCATTAAAACATGAAAGGATCTAACATTCTGTTGAGACTTGATACCATCTTAAAATGGAAGCCGACTTGTTCCTTTCTTTCCGTGGCAGATTTATGAACCACACCGTTATACCTGCAGGGATAACTTGTTCTGCTTGTCCCAGGATAGTTCTGGGTCAGGTCTATTGCTCCAGAATAATCATGAATCGTGCCCCCTTCCGTATATGTCGTGCTTTGGGCAGTAAATCCTATGGCCACCTCATGCATGCCTATTTATTCGTCAGGCCACTCATATGCCTGTCCAGGAGTTAAAGAGTTATCCACCACTGAAAGCTGAGGGGCAGGGCATCGTGAGAGGTGGGGAAAATGGGTCCTTCTGCAGGGAGTGGGGACAAAGGTGTCCTGTGACAAGCCCTGAGTCTTCACAGCTCCAGGAGGTTTCATGAGGTCTCAATGGCTGTGGATACAGCAGAGCGGTGAAGGTCGAGGGCACTTTCCTAAGCTTTTCAGTTTAGCTTGTAAATTTACTGTTCCATTAAAAATGGTCAATCTATCAACTTTTATCATTTACTTTTAAGGGGACTTCGACCCCTTTGATCCACTTAA